CAAAAAATTGAACAACGCAGAAAAACGTTGACACTTCGCGATCTATTCATTTTTTCAATAATCCAAACGAGCGATTTTCTTAACATTCGTCTCGATATTTGGAGTTGGCAAGTATTCATATTGTTGCTTTCAGCAACGGGAATGTGTATTTCCAATTGAAGTGGATCTGGAATATCAGGGAGAAGTGCGTAGATCCGTATTCATTGCATTTATCCGACTCTAGGGAATAGGCGGCATTTGGAGGTTGGTGTTCAAAACCGCGAGGACGTTTAGAAACAAACATATGTAAGTAGTTGATAGTTTTATGCATTCATTGTCATCAATACATTTTGTCAAATCAGTATTAGAAAGCCATCGTTTCGATGAGATTGTTCAGATCGTGTTATGTAGCAAAAATGAAACGAATGAAGAAGCTCAATTGGTCAAGTGCTGATAATGCTTCTTCACAGAGTCTCCATTGTTTATTACTGAAGCATCACTTAAGGTGTGGATATTCGAAATGAGCGAGTTATTTTTGAACTCGGCATGTTTCATTCGAAAGATTCCGGCGCGGGGAAGTGTGAAGCAATCCAGAAAGAAACAAGCAAAACCACCGATTGACTGCGCCCAAGGAAGCAGTGATATCGCCGCAGCCGCATTATCACCTTCGAACATACTGAACCCAAAAGATCGTAAGCGTAAAATTGGTACGTTCAATTAGTCTCATTACTTCTCTCGAACCATTTCTTAATACGCATATTCAATTCTTTGCATATTGCATGACCTTACGAACTTCATCGTTCTTCTTTTCTTTTTGGCTTTCCCAAAAGAGTCCACCAGCGCAAAATTTACTCTTTTAGTTTGCCCGATCTGTTGCCTCCTTTGTTTAGCGTCTTTCAAGTTCTGCTTTTAATTTTCTTCAAAACTACCGAATGCTCAACCAAGATAACATGTTTCTGAGCAACTGTTCGAATTTTTGCAAAATCACTGAATTTGTAGCACGCCTAGATGTTTTTTACCTAATTCTAGTTTTTTTCTCATTTCCCACATAAAATGTGACTGAAATGGCTACATTACTTTAAGTTTTTGAATATGTTCATCTAACGTTTGTGGTATGTGCAAGGCACATTATGAATGAAATTTGAATGAAACGCAACTACTGCTTTCATTTTTTGTGATTTAGATGATGGCTGTGATGTGGATAGATTGGAATCAAATGACGAAGAAACGGCGGTATGCTCATCAAGGATGAATGAAGCGAGTGCTATGTGGAATGAAGATGCAAAAGGTGTGGGTAACGATCTGATTAGTATACTAAATGATCAGATGAGTGGTACAAAAATGACTGCAGATAGTCATCAAAGTGCGGACGGAGCGATTGGAAACGATGCTGGAAACGACAATATGACTATGAAGAATGAACGAAATAGTGTTGAAAATGGTGACCTTCTGTCTAAAAATCTAAAATTTCGTGTCCCACAAGTGAAGAACGCAGCAAAAAATCAAAGGATGGCACAATCAGTTTCGCATGCTAGGCGAATATTTTCCGAAGAATTGCAACGATGTTCTGGAGATATATGCAAAGATGTGTGGCAATGTTCGGATTCGAATAGTCCAGTCACTGAGTTGCAAACAACAAACTTTAATCAAAACGATGAAGATGAATCGCCGCACAGAAGTGATGCTAACGATATAATCACTGAGGATAGCTCAAATGACAAAAATATTTCACGTACCATTGAAACCTGTGATGTCGTAAGCAACCGTACAAGTATTACTGATCGTTTATTCGATGACGGAAATGGTACACTTCAAAGTAAGCAATTAGAACATTCTCTCCTTTAATGTTCCATTTGATATTAGATTATTTTTCTCAATGTTTCGACTCTTATTCTATTGTTCACATGGTGATGGGTCGTTGTAATGATTAGGGATATAAATTGATGTAACTGAACTGAACTCGCAAAATCGAGAACAAATTGTGCGACTCATGAATAATTATCGCTTTTGGAAATAATCTCAGTGTGAAACTGAGAATCTTTTAATCAATCGAAAGACTGTAATCGACTTCATGAGTTAAGCTTATTTTTGCTCATTAAAAGTTGATGCTCAAAATGCTCAGAAACTAATGAGTTGTTGTGCTGAAGCATGTGATGAAGAGAACGTCTGTTCGATGAAGTGTCATCCGTCAACATCAAATTCAGCGATCGACAATCAATTGCCTGTTAACTTACTATTAACACCTTCGCCAACAGCTGATAATGCTAAGAATCGATCATCACTAAACAGCGATCGTTCGATGAAGGCAAGGAAAGGCAAACGACGAAATCAACCGCGTCTGAATGCTTGGTCATATTTTGATATATGTGCACAACCCTCGTCGGTGTCAGTTGAATCTACGAAGGGAGCTGCAAGCGCTGACCTCGTACGAGTGGTACGTTGTCGCGTTGAAGACTGCAATCGAGAGTTTTCCTTTCCCCATGGCAACAAAAACTATACGAAGGAAATGCTTATGCATGCTCTGTCGCATGAAAGGCCTCGAAAACAAACAAATCTTATTCTTAATATTGCCCGAAGTCGTCATCAGTCATCAGTGGATGATGACTCCCAAAACGGTTTCTAATTTTTTGAAACTCATTCGTTTATTCGAATTGAACTTTGATTGATTTGTGCTGTGCGATCTTTTCTTTCTCATTTATTCAAATGTAAGTAGAGTTGAAGATTGGGTCATCTGAACAGTTTTGCACCTGAAAACAAGCAAATTTAGGTATTTGCTGCTGGAATCAAACCAACCCTTATTTGTTCCTGATCTTATTTTTCAGTTTCCGATAGTGTCAAATAAAATTTTTGATTTAAGATACCTAGTAGCAGTAATCAGAATATATTATCAAGATGAATCACGTTCGGGCTGAGACTTACACTGGGTCTGAGCTATGTGTTAGCCATCTGTTAAACATATACGTATGAATGTTGTCAGGTATTGTTTGAAATTTGTTTCAGATGATGCTTCTTCAAACAGTTTGACCGGGAATGATAGTGAACAAACGCTAAGAAACGACGTCAGTTGTGCGTCAACTGCAATGAATGCTTCGGACAATAATGATAACCTTAATGCTACTGGTGAATTCGAACAAAGTGTTGATTCAGCATTTGAAATATTCAATCGTTCCAATGAACAATGGGCAGCTGATAATGGTATTAAGAAAAGCAATTGGATAAAGAGTTCTGGTAAGAAGTATGAATGGCTTATCCCGATCAAGCCACCATTCAGACAGAGAGGTGCATATTGGAATCACTTCATTTTGTGTATGCCAAAAGGTGGAATAGCCACAGGTCAGTTGAGACCGAGGTTCGTGGCACGATGTCGTATTGGTGAATGTGTGAAAGAGTTCGATTGTAGCTACAGATACACTGACTCAATGTTGAGACATGTGCAAATTCATCGTCGTAAGAATCAGATGATGCTCGAAGAGAAGAATCAACAAAAGCAAGGTTTTCGTTGGTTTTATTGGTTAATTGCATAGTGATTGTGAGTATTGAATATGTTCATGTCAGAGAAACGCAATCTATGGGTAATATTTGAATTATAACTGAATGATCACGATGCGATCAATTTTGACATCCTCAAAATTTTGAAACAATTAAGAGAACATATGCGCTAAGGTGACGATAGTATCAATCGTTTGGATGATAACAGCGCTAGTTCAGTAATACTGCTTAATGCCTTATTTGCAGTGCCAGTAAAATTGCTTAATCCCAAACTTTTTACAGATAAAGCAGCAAGAAATCGAAGTAAGGTATTGGTAGCGCGTAATCGTAATGATATGTTGATACCTTTGTTGATAACGGCTGCTACCGATAGACTCTCATCCACGTCGTCCTCATCATGTGCCGGGTTATCGTTATCGCAGTTGCTGTCCAAGGAAGATGATAATGAATTGAGATGTTATGCATGGGTAAGGTGCGATTGGAATGAAGAGAAACAGTCGGAGGAACGTTATGGCTGTGTCGGTTGTTCGCACATTTATCCGAGTCGTGATGAACGCTATGAACTGTTCAACGTTAGTTTGAAGATTGTTCATTCATTTCTTTGGATATCAACTTTTGTGTTTCTTCAATCCGAAATATTCGTTTGCTTTCACATTCATTGAAGCGAAATCAATTGTTTATATCGCCTTGGTGCTATTATCTCATCAGCTCTTAAGTATACTATCCGAGTAATCGCCTCGAAAAAGAGTCCTCTGTAAATGTCGAAAATTCTCTCTCAAAGTTGTCGTTAACCAGTTTAGTTCCTGTCAACCACTTCCAGTTGATGTCGTTCTATGACATAAATTTTTAGATACCGAAATTGGTAATATCATCTTCGGGAACGGGTAAGATTACAATACCGGATCAGTGCGAGCATTTTTGTGAGCCGGAAAGATGCAGTGATTATTGTGATTTCCGCTACTACGACCCTCTCTCGGCTGACCCATTCATCAATCCAGCTCAGCTGAAACTGAACAGTGAGATAACAGAACGCCTAAAAAGTGGTCAGTTGATGGGATTAAATTTAAGAATTGTTTCTGCACAATACCAGAATTGTGGGATCGTAAATGAACCAGCATTTCCGTGGTTTACTCGCGATTTGATGCAGTCTCGATGATGGCACTAAGTGCCGAAACTTCGACGTATAATGTACTGAGTCGTATAAGATGATGAATGTGCTTATGTCATTAGTATTCATGAAGTGTTTTCTTATTATTTCGTTATGTTCAAAAGCATAATGAAATAAAACTATAGAAGTGAACGCAATGCGTCGTACAGTGCTTGAAGTGGCAGTCGATGACGATTTGCGTTTTGTGAAAGTGATTCGATTGAAATGGGATGATGTGCTTGGTAATGACCTGATGGACAGTGGCGAAGATCGGTGGCAGATTATTCTGGACACGTATTTAGAGAATGGCTGGGAATGGCGATCCAAACAGTTGCCAAAAGAGCGTTGGGAAAGTATTGTAAACGGTGTTGAGGTAAGAATTTTTGCCCCAGTCTTGAGTGTCTCTGTTGCTATGCCATTGGTTCCGTATGCTTTCTAGCGTTTTACTTGTTGAAATGTTTCTTTTGTTTGTCTCACTCATCAGAGCCGAACGAGTTGGTTCGCTGGTTCGATTTTGCATTGAATGATGTGGAATATGCATTTGAGAGCTAAATGCCTCCATTTAGCTTCTCTATTCATGCTGGTATTGAGCATAATACTGCTCAGTTGCTGTTGATCACTGTGAATTTAGGCGAAAAGAAAAAGTTTCGTGTCGACAAAGAATCTGACGAAATGCGAACGAATAGTTGAATTGATGTTGCGAAGAATCAAAGACAACGAGTGTTGGATGAGCAATCATGAAGGCACTTCGACGCAAATGTCAGATACTGTTCAAGAAGAGGTTCTGGACTGCTCTCATCTGAGTTTACGTTTTCGAAGTAATCGACGGAAAGACACTGATTTTATGCGTGCAGTTTCGAGCGAATGGCCAGTTATATCAATGGCAAACATTTGCGATGATAAGGGCAGAAAACAGGTTCTTTGTTGCTCTGTTTAATTTCTTATTATTATGAATTTTTATCCATCTAAGGTAAATAGTTACCTCAAACATAACGTCGAATTTTTATCAGTATCTGATGAAACTGTTTTACGATGAACTTAACTGTAGATAGTTGTTTATTTGCTGAAAAAAATCTATAGCTTGGCTGGAAATGACATATGTGAACAGATGAAAGGTATGGATTCTGTGGAACTGCTATCCATTTCTGATTTCTGGTTTTAGTTGCGTGCCGCATGGGATCGTATTGGTGATGTTCGAACTGTTCGAAAATCCAGTATAACTGCTCAGCGATGTGCTCCATTGCATTGGAGCTACCTGTGTCCTAAACTAATTGTATGCACCTTTCNTTTCTTTCGTTGTTCATTTCCACCAGTTTATCTTTATTTTCACCGTTCTCGTTTTATGTCCTCACTTGAATTCAGCAATCGTTCTCAAAATTCCGGCTCCCACTCGCATAAGTTCACGCTGCCGACAGACTATATTCCACCGCAAAAGCGAATCGCAATGTGTTCTTGATGATGCTTGTTTACATCAGTCATTGTGATGTGCGTTCGCGATGATATTTTTTTGGGTGTCACATTCAGTAATCTGTTGGAGTATCATGCGAAATTATTTCAATATGTTTGACTGGATTGATGAAATTTTATTGTTTGAAGGATAACATCAGAAGAAAGTCATCTAGTGGCAAGAGTTGGGTGCCGGATGAAGCTGAATCACTTCTGATGTGTATGCTTGATCGAGCACCAAAAGCGATCAGACTGAGAAAACGTGGAATGAAAATGAATGATTTGAGAATCATTTTAACGCATTTGTTGGAGAATCATCCAGATTTTGTCACAACAAAATGGCGTAAAAAAGAATTGGAAAGCATATTCGATGAGATTGCGGATACGTATGCCTTGAACGAAAGAACTCGTGAGCAGTTATTACATGCACAACTTGGATATCTTCTCATTATGTTATACATTCGTCGAACTTTGGTTTGTAGTATCACTCATTGTTTTTGTGTGATTGCGCTGGTTTTCTGTTTAGCTTCAGCTAGTTTTTCACAGGAATTCAAGCATCTTTTGCAGAATATTTGTTCAGTATCGCATTAGTTTTTACCGAAGACTTACCTTGTTACTTTGGAAAAAAGATGGATTTTATCGGGTATTCCTTATTAATTACATCGTTTATTTAATACGCCTGCTTTGAGGACGGTGAATGAATCATTATGTTCGATGAAACAGTGATTTAAAATGTTTTTGTTATTTTATTTGAGATGCGATGGAATAGATATAGAGGTGCATCATTTTTGGTACTATTCAACGAATGCGATCGTTTAGCGTTGAAACTTTGTGAAGTGGATATATCAGCACATCTAAATGACATTCAGTTATGTGGAAATCGGCGTAGGAATAAGATGATTGGTGAGGTTATTCTCAGACATTTATGCTCTATAATGTAAAGTCCGTAATTGCAACAATTTCGTGATCTGTTAAGAAAGTCATTTATTTCTTGTAAATATGATACTATCGTGTCCCTAGTCAATGTTTAATGATGACAAAAAATTGAAGAAAGAAGCGAATGAATTCTTAAACGACTCAATAAAAATTATTATTGTTCAGCAATAGCGAAAGATGAGATAAGGTTCGTGAAATTGGTTTCACAGCTTCGGGATTCGATGCTTTTATGCGTCCCGTTGAATGAGCCATGGCAGATCATTTATGACACTTATCAAGCGAATCGCTGGCAGTGGATGTGGCCTAGAAACGCACTGAGTCGATGGCGTCGTATCGTTTCGAATTTTAAGGTGGATTCTTTGTGTTCGTTGAATTTGTTCGATGTTTACTTGGCAACAATTTTGAATTATTCATTCAATACGATGGATATGACTGGCTGGATGCCTTTTCGTGCAAATACATACTCAAAAGAATTTGGAATGAAATCCGATAAACGTCCCGTATTGATCGATGTAATCGGTTGAACGTTCTCATTTTCAAAAGGAAGTGCTTTTGTTCAGCGCCATTATGGAATGTCAAAAACGTGATTTAAGATGAAGCGGAAAGCGCGAGACAAGAAAGGCGAAAATTGGGTGATGAGTAAGGTGGATACGATTTTAGCGAATTCGATGAGCGACGTACTGGAGTTTGATGGGAAGAAATCTCGAAATATCTCATCTCACAAGTTTGAAGAGAGCTTACGAGCAGTCTTTAAAAGTATTGCAATTTCGTCACCGAATTTCGATTTGTGCGATGACGAAGATCGTCAAAAAACGATACGACAAGCACTGAGTTACCTTGACTTCGATGCTGACTTTCTTGGCTATATTGTGCAGAATTCAGCGCGTCTCCTCAGCACCATCCTAGCAACCGCAAAGGTCTTTTCATAGTTCATCGTTTTCAAAACTACAAATCGTTATCTGTATGATGGGTAAAAACAGTGTTCGATTATCATTCGACAATGCAACAGCAGCTGTAAATACGGCAGTAGCTTGAATTGCTTTCATAGTCGTCATTTAACACGTAGCAAACGACATTTTATGTGAAACTGAGTTTTGTTTTGAAAAATTTTTCCACCAACTGATAATTGTTTCATAATGATTTGTTTGGACCACAGAATGATCCAATTTGTCAGTGCGTTAAATTTCACTGGAATTTGTGGTTTCATTATGATTGTTCTAATTACCATTTGAATGAATTGAATGTTTGTTCAATGAGAATAAGTTCAGAAAGGATTGGTGACCAAAAGAGTACTGAGTGCTTTGGAATGCAGTGTTCTGAAGTTGTTCAAAATAGATTTTGCTGATGCCGTCGACTCAACTGTTGCGAATAGCGATGAGCTTTCGGGTGACTANCATAAATAATTCATTTTGAGCATTAATCGCTGCAACGAAAGAGAGTTGTCGTGCTGTAAATGAGATTTATGATGAATCGTCTGCCAGCGATCAAGGATCAGTCATCGAACGAGAATACGAAGTTGACGGCTCGTCATCCTCAAAAAGTGATTATTTATCATTCATTCATTCAGAAAGTGATTCATTCATTTTCACTCGCCATATACCACTTCGAAGTAATCTCAAAGTATCGAAGAACTTCTGCACAGATTTCGTTTCGCATTTCTCTCCTTTGCTTTTAATGCGCATATTCATATGAGCTTGTTTACTGAGCATAAATTGAAATCATGTTGTAGTCGATGAACTCGTCAGTGCAATTCAAATCGACGCAAAATTGGGTGTATGGATTGATTATTCAAGTATCAATCAAGCGAAACGGCAGATCAGTCATAACGGTCCACATTCTTTTCTGTTGAATAGTAAGGATACTGAAGTGAATTCCGAGAACGATGACATAAGTTCGTTCGATATTATTTTTCTTTATGGTTAATCATATTGCTATTATAATTGCTGATAGCTTTATTATTATTGTTGTTTTGAGTTTTGTTATTGTTTTTTTGTTATTCAATAACAATTTTATCACCGTTGCCTTAAGCAGAATCTGTATTGTTAATGAATTCAAAAGAAAGCAGTGATGATATTTGTTCCAAAATTATAATAATATAATTTCATCAAATTGTTAAAGGTTAAGCCTTGAATGAAGTGTTCAACAAATTTCGGAATGTGTTTCTGAAAATGGATTTGCAATGCAACAGAATTTAATAGAATAGTCTGAGGTGACAGAAAGTTGTAATTTTCGGATGCATATTATTCTGAATTTTAGTGTCAGCAGTTGATGATGATGATGTTTACGGTTTTGAAGACGTGTTCAGTGACAACGATGAAGACGATAATAGTTCTTGTTGTGACAATTCTAGTTCAGAGATGGACTGCGAGTCGCTTGGTGGTTGGGTTTCTCTGATTCCAAAAGGTTGGTTTTGCCATGTTGCTCTTCATTGATTCATGGGAATTCTGGTGGATGGTGAATATGATTGGTTCTCAGGAAGTTACTGAAATTGCAGAATTTCGTTACTTTTACCGTTCCAGTTATTTACATCCTTTTCAATCGCTGTCCAAAAGGAAAAGATTCATATTCTTCTAAAGAATACATTCAGTAATAGGTTGAATGCAAGAGAATAAATAATGAATGATTTGAAATCCAATTAGAAACCGGTGCGAATTTGCATTTCATGTAAATAAAACGAAAAAGTGTATTTGTGTTATAGAGGAACCGAGCGGTGTTAAAGAGTCGACTGGAGTTCAAAAATTGCAACCGTGTATAAAGAAGGAGATGTCGGAATAGATTGGGATTCGTCTCTTCAACGATAGCTTTGCTTGTAAATAAGATGGATGTGGGAAGTAGAATTGTATAATCGTAAATTTATTTATGATCCAGAAATGAACTTTTTGTTATTCATATTAAGTAATTCTCGAAACTAATGCGCATTTTTTTGGCGAATTTTTCTGATTTTGATTTTTTTAAAATAATGTCGACAGGGTTCAGCTGTCATTGTAGTAGCTGATAGTTGATGGTATCAGTCAAAAATTTATCGAAATCAACGTTTGAAAAATGCCATTGATGATGAGTTCTTTTCGGTTTGAATCGATCATTCGATAGCAACTCGTTTAGATGCCAATTGATGTTCTCTTATTGTTCATATTCATTTGTTTTGTTCGTTTATGATTTGGCGCTTCCAGGGAATTTGTACATATTTTTTTCATTTGATCTGTTTAGTGAATATCAGATATCAGTTGTATCACATTCACGATTCATCGCCTCATTGTTTCTCTCGCTTATTTTCTTGTTAGATTAGTCGATTTTAATGGTAGTTTACTGCTGAAGATATCTCGGAGATTGCATGCAGAAAGACGATTTAAGCTTCGAAATCCAGTCAGTGGAAATTTCTGATGAAGCACGAAATTTGGTCATTTTCAATGTTGCTTTCTGCGTTCTTTTAAAGTTTTCGAATCAGAGCAAACGTAATTTGTGAATTGTTTTCGTTATTAATCGCGCGGTTTGCGCTGATATTTTGGTCCATTTCTACTATTTAGAAGGAAGAATTCATTGCGTTTTAAACGATCATCACAGTACTCAAAATTATTCGAGTGTTACTTTTGGGCAATCAATTTCTTTTTTCAAGAAATTGATTCAGTGTTGTTTGCGTTTATGTGCCAGAAATTTTCTAAAGCAGATTTGACTTACGTTGACTTCATTCGAAATGGTTATCATTTGTGACGTGTTGGGAGAGAACGTGTAGCATATCTGCACTGTTCCAGATTTTTTTCAGAATTCGATTGTATTCAAATATTGGTCTAATCTTTGTCGTATTGATAAAAATTTTTTGAATTTTAAATTGCTGTGGACTGTATATGTGAAATTTTGACCAAAATTTTAGTTCACATTCGACGCATTAATCTTCCCTTTTTTGATAGGTGAAGCTCAATGAATGAGTTATTTCTTTGTTGTTGTCGTGGTATCAGTTGATATTCGCTACGTAGATTTTCTTCTGGTTTTTTATGTGACATTCAACGCACGAATTCTTGTCAGTGCCTTTCGAAGTGAAAGTTCGGAAATGCATCGTGATAAATGGCTGAATAGACCGTGTCATGGTAGACGGTGACAATTTTTTTCAGGAGCGCATCTGAAAAATTGATGTCTACTGATTTTCACCGTTGCACTGTCTCACTAGGGAAAACAAAATGAATGAACATTCCGTTTTTGTTTTTTTTAATTTGAGAGTGCAACGATGAGAATTGAGAAAACATACAGGCATGTGCAAGTGTTTTTTTTGCAAATACTAAAAGATATCATTGCATATCATGATCAGTGACGAATTGTGTGGCATTTGAAAACGTTTTCATTATTGTTCAAAAATGGACGATAGCTTTGATAAAGCAGTTACAAATTCTGCAGCAAAACAGAACTGCAGCAGCATTCTGCAGCAAACAGAACATTCAAATATTATTCACAATTAACACATTCTACAACAATTTTAGAAGTGTTCTCCGGTGAGAAGGCAGCAATTCAGAGTGCATCCGATTCGTGAACCATTTATTGTCTGTTATTGTTTGCGTACGTAAGTCACAATAGAGGTGAGTCGAGTATTATCGCAGAGTTGTAGCGTTATCATTGTCATCATTAGTGCATAGTTTTATTTCCTTTGTCAGTGTTTATCATTATCAATACTATCACAATGACAACTACAAACGAATGTGACTGAGTTGAGTTGTTCACAGATAACGGCATATATTAAACAAGGCATGTTTCCTGTTTCTTCTGAAATATTCGACTCATTTACATTAGAGAGTGAATTAGTGATGATTCGTCGAATTCGAAATTTCGAAACAAAAAAATTTATTGAAATCCCTCTTTCGCACGGCATGAAAAGTGTGAAGGTTGTTCGAATTGAGAGACACTAAATTACTCGTTTTATGTGAATAAAAATGCATTTGTGAATTGCGCTAATATGACTAGACCCCCAAAAAAAGCAATTCAAATGGGTTCACAGCATCAAAAATCACTGAAATACACTGGCTCACTAAAAATCACTGAAATTTTTGATCAAAAATCAGCAGGAAATGTTTTGTGCTACGTGAACAGAAAGCAGTATGTGATTACCTTAAAAACAATAAATTTGAGCAAAAAATGATAAATGGCCAAATAGTGGTAGCTATGATCAATAAAAGTGGATTTTGAGGGAGTAGAGAAGAAAACCACGAATTGGTCTTGACCTGAAAATGAGCGATGATGCGATCGACCGACATAGTTTAGTGGAGGATGAGTGAAGGAAAATAATTGAACTGATGAATGATTCATGCACATCTAAGTCAGTGAAAAAAACTGTAACAAAAAAATGCAACTCTCAAAATTGGATTTCGAGTGGGAAAAAAAAAAGTTCGTAAAACCTTGACGAATTGATGA